TATATCTATATATCTATATATATATAAAAGATAAATTTAAAAAAAAGGGTAAAGTGCATGCACACTTAAAACTGAGAGAGACAGAGACAAAGAGAGAGTACAGAAAACATTTCTATGGACCGACAGTGGACCATTAAGAGACAATTCCCCACTTATCTCTCCCTCTATATGTCTCTCCCGTTTACACACTCTCATTTAAACTCATCATTTTCTTGCTCTTGTGTTAATCAGTGGCTGAAGTAACAGTGAATCATCTTCCCCGATATAATGCAGCACATACCCTCTTCTTCGCATCACCACTGTTACCCATCTCTCAATCTCTCTCTGTCGCTCTCACTCCCGTGACTAACATCTCGCTCTTAACCGTTCAATCATCTCTCTCCTCTTCTCCCTTTCTCTCTCTCTCTCTCTCTCTCTCTTCTTTCAATCATACTCTCTCTCTCTCTCTCTCTCTCTCTCTCTCTCTCTCTCTCTCTCTCTCTCTCTCTCTCTCTCTCTCTCTCTCTCTCTCTCTCTCTCCAATGCATTACAATTATCAACTCAACACATCCCTTCATCTCAGCTTACCAAACAACCAGCCCAACCTGGTGTTGGGAAAAATGTTACGTGAAAAAATAAGAAGAATTGAAAATCTATTGAAGAATATGAGAAAATAATATCAATTGCATGAGGCGTGCTAGTCATTGTCCTTAAGGACAATTCCACCTCTCGGAGTGTGAAACTTAGTACGTAAGGCTCTAGCGGCTATTCTCCCAAGATACAACAGACGTTCTTCTATACTCCGTACTGAATATTAAAAGGAACATGAATAACGTTATGTGTATAACCCTGCAAGGAAAGAAAATATTTGAGAAGAAAAGTATATTCTCTTTATAATTTTGTGCATATATTTTGATTGCATTTGAAGTTCTATTTTATATTTAAATGAAAGAGCCATTAGGAAAAAGCCGTTAAGAAACTATTATAAAGCCGTTGTAAAATAATGAATGGTTTATGAACAATTAAATAAACGTTACAAAACCGTTATACGACCGTTGCAAAATCGTTATAAAATGATAGCTTTATGGCGATAATTAATTCTAAAAAAAATTTCAAAACTGCTGAAATATCCAACACCTTGAGCTTTTCCTCGACCCGTTGTCCTCATCGTCATCGTCGCCACACAGTCCATCTAAAGTAGCTCGGATGTTCTTGTGCGACTTCTGCCATAGGAAGTTCTATAGCTCGAAGGCGAGCGGCGGCCACCAGAGCGCGCACAAGCTCGAGCACACCCTTGCCAAGATAAGCAGATCGGAGCTGAGCTCGGCCGTCAAAGCTCACGCAGTGCGCTCGCAGTCAGGCTCGAGTCGCGCGGTCGCACTCATCAACGCCACCACGAGCACGCGGGTAGCTTTCTTGGAGACGTGGGCTACGGAGGGGTGTGAGAGATGGCGAAGTACGGGTCGGCTTCGAAAGGGTATCGACCAGAGAATGCTCATCAAGAGGAGTTTTGTCAGCTTGACTTGTCCTTAAAAATCTGAATCGATAATTTTGCATAAACCCCTTAAAAACAAAGATTAGCATTCAACTAATGAGTTGACATGGCACCCACAAACTTAAAAGATATTGTTTTTACTGAAAAATCATCTAACTGAATATTAACGGAGAGTAAATGTGTCACATATGTACAAGTTTGAGATTTTTTATGTCACGGGAAAAAGTTTAGAGTAAATGTATCACAGTAGACACAAAAAAAAATTTAGGGTAAATGTATCACAGTAGGCCGACTTTGGTTTTTGTCGTACTCTACTTATCAGACCATTGATCGATGTTGTAGGTAGAAGGGATGGTGGTCCATTTGATGACTCGATTTATGCACGTTGTTAACAGTTTGGCTTGCACTGATGACTTGATCATGCGAAAAAAGCGACATGGGATTCCATCGTGTGAAATTTTTTTAGGTCTGATTCTGTCGTCCAAAACGATCTTCTCATTGCCCATTGTGGTGAAATCGGCTTCGGCTAGTCAGGGTGAAGTGTTTGATGCCGATTCATGTAGAGAGGGATCCAAGTGCAAGTTGCATTCAACTTCTAAGTTGTTGTCGCGAATTGATGATGTAACTTTTTTGTTTCTGGTCAAATTGATGATGTAACTTCGTTCGGGCAATTGTCACAGTTTCGAGGAGTCCTAAGGTTGCCTATTAAGTTTATAGGTTACATTGAACAAATTAAAAGTTCAAGGATCTCATTGCACATTAGGCCAAAGTTTAGGGATTATTTATGTCATTTTCCCTTTTTAATTCAAGATATAAGTTCCTTTTTTTTATTTATAACATGAAACTCCACCTAAAAAAAAATAATCCAAGTCCGTAAATTATCCCCCACCATAATGGATCGAGCACCATCGCACGGGTCGAAAGCCAGTCCGAATAGATCGTTATGCACTTAAATCGAATGCGGTTGTACGCTTGATCTGTGCACACGTTAATTTCGTATACCTCTGCATTAAAAAGCAACACATTAATCTTCAAAAATATTGTTGGAGAGATGAGCGATTTTGAGCCCTAAACCTTTTGTATTTGTGTCAATTTTGTACTGAACCTTTTTTTGGTGCCAATTTAGTCTAAAAACCTTTTATTTTTATGTCAATTCAGTCCTTTCGGCTAATTTTGACCGGATTTTGTTGACGTAGACACCAGTCGGCCAATGTGGCATCGCCTGCGCTGACGCGAATAATTTTTAATAATATTTTATTTTTTTCAATTTTTTAAATTATTTTTTATAATTTTTTCCTTCTTTTCTTTTTTCCCTTTCTTCTTCCTTTTTCCGATGACCGGCCACCAGCCATAGTCGGGCTGGCCTCGCCTAGGCGAGGGTCACCGCCCGCCACAGAAGTGGCTCAACCGACCCACGCCTGGATAAGGGCTCCCCTCGCTGGATCTGACGAAGCCACCTTGACCTGGACGAGGGGGAGCTCTAACAAGGGCTCCCTTCGCCAGATCTAGCGATGCCAGGGGATACGCACCATGCGAGGTCGGAGGATTGCATACCAGATTCCCACTTGAGAGTGGCTTGGTTGAGATTCGAGAACAACTTCTCGAATTCAAGCTCGCTCTCTTCGGCCAGTTGCCTCTGCCAATAGCATTTGAGCCCGACCGTCCTCGAAAGCCCTCTCCAGGGCTTACCCTCGCCTAGGCCAAATCTGGCGAGGCTAGCCTTCGCCCAGGGCAAGGCAGCCTCGCCGGGCGTTGCCCGAGTGAAGGCAAAGCTCGGTGAGGCCGCCCTGGCCTGGGCGAGGGCTGGCCTCACCAAATCTAGCGAGGGGAGTCCTCGTCGGGGCTCACCCTCGCCCAAGCGAGGGTCGGCTGGGCCTCACTTGTGGCAGGCGACGACGACCCTCGCCTAGGCGAGGCTAGCTAGTCCGCCTGCTCGGCCATGGCCAATGGTCGACCATCATCTGTGGCCGGTAGCTGGTCACCGGAAAAAGGAAGAAGAAAGATGAAAAAAAAAAGAAAAGAAAGAAAAAATTAAAAAAAATGAAAATATATTAAAATAGCGCCGGCGATGCTACGTCGGCCGCCCAGCATCTACGTCAGCAAAATCCGGTTAAAATTAGCCGGAATGACTGAATTGACACAAAAAAAGGTTTATGACTAAATTGGTACAAAAAAAATATTGATAACTAAATTGGCACAAATGTAAAATATTTTAGACTATTCTGATACTTTTTCCCATTAATCTTGAGAAATATTGTTGGAGAGGCGAGCGATTTCGAGCCCTCACGATGGTTACAGGTCGGCAAAGAAGAAGAAGCGAATTTCGATTAAATGATTAAAAAATAAAAATTAAGACATAAGCTCCAATTTTATCCATTTGTTTTTAAGAAAAAGGAAATATTCAACGAACCGAGCGCATACCCGGCGCGGCCAACCGTCCTTGTCAGCCGTTACAGCATAGGGCCCTTTCCATTATTAAAAAAAGAAAAAATATCTAAAAGTGGAAATTTAAATATCTTGAGAAAAAGATCACCCAACCATTATGATTAAAGAAATATTTATTTATTTATTTATTTTGCTTTGCTTTTTTATTTATTTTATGGCAACTCTTTTTTGACACCTACCACTACCAACTATCGTCACTCGTTGCGTCATCCGCCTTCCGCTACTAGCAAGTCAAAGTCAAAGCTCGCGCTTTTCCACAGCATATAAAAAAGCCCACAAAAAATCAGCTCTGGTCCTTTTCATTTTCCCAACATGCTAAAGAAGAATCATATTATTTATATGGGCAAAAGCTGCAAAAATTCTTAAATTACGTGCATTTACCCTAAATTTAAGTTTCCGTTACACAAAAAACTTTAAATTTGTAACTGCACGACAAATTTACACCCCCGTTAAAATTCTATCAATGGAATGAAAGCGAACAGCATTCACACAGCTCCCACGTAACTTGAGTGAAATAAAAACGACGTTTTGACCGACAAATATTCAATCGAAACCTTAATGAATAGTAAATGCGCCACGTAGGTACAAATTTGAAACATGTCATAACGGGCGTGGTTTGAGATTTTGAAAGTCTAGGGAAGGCTAATTTTCTTTATTCCTCATGTGATAAATTGATTTTGTATAATATTACTTAAATAAATAATAAGATGTAATTCACTTATTTAAAAAAATTATCAAATTATAGTTTCCATGGACGCTTTTCTCCTCGCTCTAACTTTTGTCCAGCTCTTTACAGCGGGCGGGAATCAAATCTCGTACCTGTGGTACTAGGGTCCTCACCCCAAATACTAAAATCCTCATTTCTCGATCTTTTTATCAAGGCGGTCGCATGTTTATTGACGAACCGGATAAATTTTTTTGTTTTTTTGGACAAGTACTTTTTTTTTTTGATCAAAGGACAAGTACTTTGGGTGAGTGGGAAAAATCAACAAACCCAAGTTGCAACGTCGACATCAAATCATAAATCCTTGGCCGACGGTTCTTGCTCGGCAAGGCAAGAGAAGAGGACGGGGAAGGAACACCCCCCAGAAGCAGAAGAAGCAGAAGAAGATAAGAGGGGAACGAGGTTGAAGAAGAAGATCTCCAGAAATGAAGGAGACGGAGATCGAGGCCTGAACTGAAGAGAGAGCGCGAGAGAGAGAGAGACGCGACGAGGAGGAAGGAAGGAAGGAAGGCGGCGGCGGCGGCGGCGGCGGCGGCATGACCAAGTCCGGCGGGGGGAAGCGCCCCTGCGACTACTGCGGCGAGTCCACCGCCCTCCTATACTGCCGGGCCGACTCCGCTAGGCTCTGCTTCGCCTGCGACCGGGAGGTCCACTCCACCAACCCGCTCTTCGCCAAGCACTCCCGCTCCCTCCTCTGCGACGCCTGCGACGCCGCCTCCGCCTCCCTCTTCTGCGAGGCCGAGCGGCTCCTCCTCTGCCAGAACTGCGACTGGGATCGGCACAGCGGCGGCGGGGGGGCGGCTCACAACCGGAGGCCGGTCGAGGGGTTCGCCGGGTGCCCTTCGGTGGGCGAGATTTTGGGCATCTTGGGCGTGGACGATTTGGGGTCGAAGGGTCCGCCGTTGGGTGGTGATGAGGGTGGGCATGGGGGTGGTGGTGGTCGTGGGTTTTCGGATGTTTTGCTTTGGGAGACTCCTGCTTTTGTTAGTCTCGATGATTTGATCGTTCCCAGGGATGATGCGTGTGCTCTTCGGGCTGTGGATGTTCCTCCTCTGCCTAAGGTAAGGCATTTTACTTCTGTTGTTCCGATAGAGAGGGAGAATTTGGAGCGCTCTAGCTGATTGGTGTCCTGTTTTCTGTGAGAGAATCGTAAAAGATTTCAACTTGCTGTCTTATTACGTTGTGCAGGGAAGTGAACATTGAACGGGTTTGAATTTGTGAATCCTCGTCGAATTATTAGTTTGAATTTGATGGAAAGGAATGTCCTGGAGAGATAAGCTCTGTGATGCAGAAATGTGATTGTCTATGATGCTTCTGAGCTTGAAGTTTCATCTATCTTGTTTTATCAGTTGGCTGGGTTTGTCCAATAGTGAATGGTTGCCAATCTTCAACAGCATATAGTTTCAGCACTTTTCTTTTCTGCAAACTTTCTTGAGCTGCTGATAAATGTATGTTTTCCTTAAAGAGATGTATGTTTGTTGTTTGAAGTCTTCGTTCTTTCACATCAGTTCCTCCGGCTAAATATCTCTTGTCCTGTTTATCTTATTTTGCTTGGTAAATGGCATTTTCGAGGATTCTTTCTTCCCTTTTCTAAATGCAGGATTACTTTATTAACAACTATCATGAACTACTTTCAATACATTAGCTAAGCTATTTGGGAATTGGGTGGGCAATGCATATCTTATTATCAACTCTTTATTAGCTTTGGACATCTCCTGACACATAGGTTGAGCTCAACGGGGGAAATGCAAGATTTTGTATCGGATCATGTGAAACAGATTGAATTACAATAGTGTTTATGTTTATCTCATAAAAGAAACTATTAACTTCAATGAGAGTGCTAACCAACAACAAAGTTTCTGGAATTTTTTAAAGAGAGAGCTAACCAACAGCCGAAGCACCAGAACTCTACTTATTAAGCTGACCAGAAAGTAGGTTGACGGCATTAAGCAAACATTCAAAGTGTGGAATCACTTTCAGTTTTAATTTTGACAAATTTTGTAAGGATTACTGGCCTCCTTAGCCTATGCCCAACAACAAAGCTATAAAAAGAATTCTGAAATTAGATATGTTTTGAATCTATTGCCCTTTCATCTTGTCCATCTGCTCAGTAATTTTGACTTTTTTATGTGATTACTTTTTATCCAGAATAGAAATGCAACCTGTGGTCAGCACAAGAAAGAAATGCTACGCCAGCTCCGCTTACTTGCTAAACCAGAATCTAACTTGAACTTTGAAGGAGGGGAGATTGAACCATTGGATGATTTTCACTTGCCAGTTTTGAATCAAGCTCTTCAGCCAGCAAATATTCACACTGGATGTGAAGATAGAGATCAAGTTGGATTTCACAAAATTGAGGTACTTCTTTCTCCTTTCATGGTCAAGACTCAAGAGCATCACATTATCTCTCTTATTCTATTTTCATACTACACCAGAAAAAGGCACTTTGGGATGAACCTGCATACGTAGAGAGAGAGAGAGAGAGAGAGAGAGAGAGAGAGAGAGAGAGAGAGAGAGAGAGAGAGAGAGAGAGAGAGAGAGAGAGAGAGAGAGAGAGAAAAAAAAAAAAAAAAAAAAAAAAAAAAAAAAAGAGAAGAGAGAGAGAGAGAGAGAGAGAGAGAGAGGGAGAGAGAGAGAGAGAGAAGGGAAAAAGGGGCGGGGGGTGTTTGATCATGGGCATGGTACTGTGTATGGGCATTCACCCGCTATTTCATGTGAGCCTGTTGACTCTGGATATCTGTGTTCCTTAAGTGCATCTCTTGCATGTTGTACAAGCTAAAACTCAGAATTGACTGTCTTTGAGGCTGAATTGCAATGTCCAAGAGTTGTTATAACATTGAAGATTAGCTCTGAATAGAAGTCCACCTGAAATTTTGAGGGAGGTCTTCATGTAATTTTCTTTGTTTTTTATTCTTATTTTTTTGTATGTGATTACACTGGCTCTTCTGCTTAACTCGTTAGTGATATAGCCATATATACATGATGACCAAGACGAAGACATGAACTTTTTGTTGTTGCAGGCAACTGACTTTCAGTGGTTTTCTAATGACGGCGACGCCAGAAACCAAGCTTATGACCGTTCTTCATTCTTTGGTAGCTACGGAGAGGAAAGTCCTACAGCTTTAGACAAATATCCAGACATCAGTTTTCTGAGTTCTGCCACTGAATGTCATGAAGTACCATCCGAAAATCCCATCAATTCAAATCCTTTGCCACTGGTTCCATTAACTAGCCAGGAGAGAGAGTCTGCAATCTCACGCTACAAGGAGAAGAGAAAAACAAGGAGGTAGAAAAACTGTCATTTCTGCAAGAAAAAATATGGTGTGTAAGTATGGATAGTTACAATGTATGAAACCTCAAATATATTAATCTGCAGCTCATTTGCTATATAAAACAGGTCCTTATGGTTGATTAGAAGCATTCACTTTGTCTGAATGCTTTAACTGCATCTTTTAATCGCGTATGGACTTCCTGGCTAAATGTGCAATGCAGGTATGATAAGCACATCAGATATGAATCACGGAAAGCCAGGGCTGAGAGCAGGATTAGAATCAAGGGACGTTTTGCTAAGATGGACAGGACCTGGTAATCACTTTGGCTCCTGTAAATTTGGTTTGCATGCTTTATAAAAATATTCTGTGGAGTTTTCAATTGCTATTGCAATTTTTGATGTTTCTCATGCGTGTCTGTTCATACCTTACCTCGGTAGAATGATTAACATTGTGAGAATGCTTGTCTATGACAAGTGAATGGAGATTAACCATTATTTAGAGCAAGATAGCGTCAAGCTAATAGTGACATAAGAGATGGTGACGTCCATGCACAAAGTTGGATGAGTTGCAGATGGTCTTCAAAAGCCCCAGGGCTATTATGCATTGAGGACTGGAGTAGGAATATGAGGAAAAGAACCTTCGCCGCAGCATATAAGGCTACATAATGTTAGATGGTTTCCAGGCAGCTGTAAGTCTGTCAATCTGGTAGCTCTATTTCTGCCAATAAAAATTTAGCAACAGTTGTGAGTATGAAGTCTAATTATGGTTGATCAACGGTCTGTGGTGGAGCTTTCAAGAAAAAGGAAGCATATTTACGCTTGTTTGTCTCGGTTAGATAAACTGGTGAGATGGCTTTTCATGGCAGGTTTTCCATATGATAAGGATATTTTGTAGGTAGAAAGCCTTTTTATACCTTTAACAAAAAGTGCTCGAAAGAGGTTTCGATGGATTTGATTATGAGTTACAGTTGTAATTACAAAAGTTAGGGGGGCGAGTATATCTCTAAGTGAATGTGTCTGCAATATGGAGAAAATTACAGAATGCGGTCATGCTTATCATTATCATCTGTTTAGGTTCCTATGGGTGTACAACTGGTTTAGTTGCCTTGGTGCATAGAAGAAAGTGAAGAGGCAAGAACCGATTGCATGAATCAGTACCTTGTATTGTGTAAACTCTTATGCATGCATTTATTCTCTCATAAAGTGTGTACTCTAAAGGAGAAGAAGTTCTAAATGCAAAGCTGCGAACCTAGTAAGTGTAGGCTTTTGAGCAGAACAAAAGGAAACATTCATTGGAGAATATTATTGTTGTAGTGGCCCAAAGGTGGAATGATTCACAGTAGTGGGTGGATGACTGATAGTGCTAGAGTCTTCTCATTAGTTTAAACTATTGTATTCTTCCTTTATGAGTTATTTCATTTCCTCTGGTTTGGTACCAGTTCCAGCCAAGCCCACCCTTTGCTCAGCTTTATTGTGGTCCACGTTATATGTTAATTTACCCGAATAGCAATTGTTTACTGAATCATCCATTGGCCATTTATTTTTTCAGTATTTACTTTCCTGCCTTGGTTTTATGTTGTTTCTGGCAACTCACTCTCACAAGGTTGAATAGTTGAGTCATGAATGCGCTGTGATTTATATAGTTACATACTTGTGCAAGTGAAAGAAACTGACTTGTGTGGCAATCAACAGATATTATAAGCAACCAAGGTATGGATACTGAGTGAGTCGCTGTGGATCAAATCGGGACAAGAATTGGAAGATATGCATCTTTGGGATCAATGAGTGCATCCCATAATGAATGTTTCTGGCAGTATTTACTTATGTACATAGAAGTAGATGTTAGTTTTGTGTTTGATTTTCGTACGCTGGTATCGGTATCGATTAAAGAGAGTTTTACTTTTGGCAAGAGCATTCTTGCTCTCCCCGTACTGAAATTCAGAATCAAAATAATGTAAGGCCCCTGTATAGTCAGTAAACAAAGTGTTGTACATATGTGGATTCTCTTTTATACGCCTTTGTCCAGTAGCCCATGCTTGCTATTGCAGGTCCTCGTATCCAATTCTGTTGACCGTCCTCTTTTTCTTGGTGCACCACTTCGAGCTCCACTCATCAAGAAGCATCAAACCAAATGCATTGAATAAATGGGGTATAAAAGGTGTCGAAGCTTAAACCTCTGTAGAGTACCTGCTTTTCATTGTGACTTCTGGCTTCTGGTCGTGGTTTTCGGCTTGCTGTAAGCCTAAGTTGTATTAGACGAAATGTCTGAAAGTTTTGAAACTTTTTTCCATGGCTTCTACTTGAAATGGTGAGTGCACAAGTATGTTCTATAAATTTCACTTATGCTTTTTCGTAAGGGGCCGAAAGTGCAAGCTTTTTCCAATCGATAATGTTTATTTGCTTATGCTTAATCTTTTACTACGATACCAACACAAGAATCTGGGTTAGACTTTAAAGAAGTGCTGGCGATTCCATGTTAGGCTGATACACTTGCTTTTCTCTTCTTCCTAACTAATGTTGCCGTGCAGGGTCGAGAGCTAGGTCGGTTGCCTTGCTTCATGATATCAATTGAAGAGCGACATTCGTATGTCTTTCTCATATGTATGACATATTTTATCACGAGAAGTAGTAACTGATGGTGTAAAATGAGTTCAGTTGCAGCATCGGCCGTCTCGCTGCTAATCTCATGCAATATCGGCACTTTTTCTTACTGTACTTAAGCAAACTAGAGAGTCGTTATCAGAATCAATGTAATTTATAGAAGTAATATAGCTGTAACACATTCATCACAGCCCCGATTCACCAACTCACTGAATTTCTGCAGCTAAACGGCCAACTCAAACTTTACTACGAGCCAAACAACAGCCCCATGCATTTAATACTTACCCTTCAAACCTACCCATCATGCACCTTCCACTCGCCAATGAGATAAAATCAAAAACCCTAGCCACACAAATATTAACCTTCCCTACCAAATACTATTGATAACTTTAGGTCTCTAGTTAACTTCAGTTTTCCATCTCTTACAATGCCTTCTTGTGGAGGTCCATGACGTTGAGCACGGCAAGCAGCAGGAACACGAACGAGCCGACGAGACACAGCGCGAATGCCGCCACCATCTGGTGGCAGTAGCTGTCGAACATGTGGCAGACCTTGTTCCACTGCACGTGGGAGTTGCCGTACTGGGCGATCACGCCGATGGCGGCGGACGCGCCGCTGGCAGACAGAAGCAGGCCCATCATGACAGTGTCAAGCACATTGATGGCCAGAGACGCTTTGGCACTGCGGGTGGCCCCGGCAACGGTGATGTACACGAGGGATGCAGCCGCGTATGAGCATGCGACGATATTCGACACCAGGAAGTATCTGAAGACAGTATTTGGAGATTGAATGCATTATTAGGGTGGCAAATACTTTACCATATGACTCATGAATTCTAGAAAACATCCCAAAATAAAAATCTGTCTACATGCATGAGTATGAACTATCTAGACTAATACTGAACTTCGATAGCCAAATATCCTGAAGCTCAAATTGAAGGAGATATGTACATGAGCATATAAACCCTAACAATTTGAAAAGATAAATAGTATCATTCTCCTTATGGTACTCAAGTCTCGTTAACTACCAACATAACTTGTTACCTTATCGTCGTCCGTACATATTTTGCGATCTCCTTATACTGAAGATTTATACAATAGGGGAAGTACTTAATAAAGGTTGTCTATACACAGTTATAACTTATCAGTAGTTCAAGTTTCCACTATAAAATTGTCCACCCTCACAATTTTTCATCCTTCTTGAAGGCAGGAGGACGTGCCGGTGAACCCTTTTTGTTCTTGGGTCAACGTACAATGTGGGGCTCTTGCTTCGGTCTTCGAGCATCGAAACGAGACATTTGAGAGGTAGTTGTCACCAGCAAGAGAGGGAGGACAAACTTTTCTGGTTCGCTTTGGGCTTTAATTGTGCGTCGCAACAAGGTTCGTTGAGGGTGGCATACATCAAATATTAAATGGACTGAACCCTAGCTACTCTAGGATGAATTCGTCCAAGATTGTTCACGGAATTTCCCTTTTGAGCAAGGGAAATGGGGATGGCATAATCCCAACTACATTGAGCGCTCGTCATTATTTTTCCTTTTCGACGATCAGAATCGGGAAACATATGTCAATTGTCGTCTACTTTTAGCCCACCCCTAATGCATTCATGGAGCTAAACTCTTTATCTTAGGTAAACCACGAGACCAAGTAATGTAGTACTAATGTCGGGGGCTGGTTTAAGGCACAAGCCAAAGTTGAAATGCGACATGATTTGGGGAACTAAGCTCTTATAAACGCGTACCGCCTTCATATTCTCAATAGGTAAACCGACCCTCACCCATTATTATGATAGTTATATAGGAGCTAAACACTACAAAAGACGAGCACATGTAACATGAAATCTACCCTTAGGTTTCTACATGTATGCACAATATGTGCAGCTATAAGTTTGGTTGGTCATGTCCATAATACATTACTTCTTAGGGCAAAAAGGGCAGAGCGGGTTAAAGATTCATTACTACGCGAGGTAAAAATTGAACTACCGAAGGACGCAGAGTAATGACGCGTCAGCTTTTAGGAGCATTGGTCGCTATCAGGTTGGTTGGGAAGAATGTTATTGACCCTTCTGTGAGCGCCACCACGTAAATTTGCCCTCATTATGAAAGTTAATGATGGGATTTAATTCCCAAATTATGGATTACATTTTACATTTTATGTGAGAAGGATGCCATGTAACAAAATACTGTTTTGACAAAGCTTGTCGCATGATCGTATCTATGCACTTCGTTTGCCGTACGCACGAGTCATGCAGAACTAAGTCCTGTACGTTTCTTCTATATTTCGTCGAAAGAACTATTATCTATTCGCGTTTCGCCATAAACTCACGCCAAATGTGGTGGAGAGTGAGAAAAGATCAAGCGAAAGATTGATAGCGGGACTTACACGAAGGCGGACATGTATTGCCACTTCGCGGTGGCGGGGACGTGCAATGTGAGGCTCTGGGAGATGACGACGGACACCGTCTTGGACTCCTTGTCGACGCCGACCATGATGGCAACCGCCAGAGTGAGCGCCAGCGCTAGGGCGCGCAGCAGCAGATCAGGACACCTGACAGCGGCCTTCGGTGGGTGCTCCGCCACCTTGACGTCACCCCGCGGCGCTACTGCCCCGCCCTTGCTCCACTTGCTTTGGCTCTCCATTTTGGTGTCTTGTGGGAGCGCCTTGTGCGTGTTTTTTGGGTTCAGTGAGTGTGTGAAATTTGAGAGAGAGAAGGGAGAGTAGATGAGTTAATAGAGCGAGGGAGAGAGAGTTGGGAAGTTGGAGGGGCATTGAAGGTGAACACAGTTTACTGTCAAGAGAGAGGACGTACAAATTTAATGCCATCTTCTCGAGAAATTTACCGAAAAAAGTTCTAGACCTATTACAATTATATCAATTTTTTGCTTGGCTAGCTAGACGACGCCCCCTGGTGCAAACCCTTGAACCAAGAAAAGGGTTTTATCAAATCGGTCACGATCTTGGTGTGGTTGTCTTGATTGTTAGCTAGTTAAGCTTTTCATACAACCTTAACAGGTTTGTCAAAGATTGGACCGTGTTTAGTTCGGCTGCTCGGATGGTCGAGCGAACATACGGACGGCGGGTTCGATCCATTCAACCTTCCATCTCAAGAACGACGATTCACGTGTTCAAATCTCGCCGACGGCTGCGAATTACTATAAAAATGAAGACTGTTGTGAAAAGGGGTGGCGCGAGATTCAGGAGAGTGGGTGGAAAAATTCAGTAGAGAACCAAAATTGGGGGAAACGAATGTCGTATTCTAGAGGCCAAGGAAAAAGTGATGAGATGAATTGTTTCGAGGATGCCTTTCGTTTATTAGTATCAGATGGACAATCAAACTCATTTTCGATTCTATAAAAGCCAAGGAAATGATTAGGTCCCAAATAAGGAGAGATACTTAACAAAAAAAATGGGTCCGATTATGCATATTCCTAGTCTGAAATGATATGCACGTCGACATGTTCCTTGGACCCACTAAATATGTTATTAGAACTCTTCTTAGTGCAACTTTAGCCTCGGCTTGTATAAATAATCCAAGAAGGGTCATCATTGACTCGTTTTCAAGATGGTCACTTTTTTGCTTAGCCCAAGGTAACGTACGGATAACTCAAGAAATCTACTGGGGTAATACAGAAATAGACAATTAACGTGTATACGATCTTTATAGCTATATGAGAAAAGATGATGATATTCCAATTCAGAAAACCGCGACATCACGGGAAATCGGTGAGGTTACCAAATCACCCATCGAAGGAATTTTAGGAGACTGAATTTAAGGACACGTGTTAGTAACTTTTGATCTGGTAGTTTTCTTTCCTTCCTGCTTTCCTTAACTTCTCCAAACGAGTGAAAACATATCCTTCACCAATTTCAATCATCTCAATTTCCAATGCTTCCAAACGACAAGAGTGGAGACATCCCTCTTCATTGATTCCAAATTGCTTCAGCTTCATCTTTCCTTTCTTCTTCTCTTCCATCTCAAACCCCCTGTCCAAAACACAAACAGTGCTATAAGAATATTGGAAGTGGACCCAATCAAATATGTTATCCAAGTGTCATTTTATGCAAGGCAAAAATGCCATGCATTTTCTTCTCTATTTTTCCCCCTATTAAACATGCGCGAAAATCGACCACCCTATACTGAAAAGAGGGAGAAATTTCCATGTCCTAGCTTGTTAATTCTCATCGTTCAATGGGTTTATCTGAGCATTATCGGAGCAATCTAATTCCTTAGGAGCAAAGCCAAGCTTGTCTGGTACATCCTATTTTTGTGTCAAAGTAGTAATAAGAAAAAAAATCTAAGTCCATTTCTTTGCGTCCCTAATCTTAGATATGCGATGTGCTTATAAATTCTCGTCAACTTTCGGGCACGATGAACGGGAACGACTTCATGTCCGATAGTCAGATAATACACAAATTTCGAATGCGTAACCAAATACAAAGAGTTGATTAATTGGAGAAGTGCAATCTTCATAACAAATTTGGCATATTAATTGTTTTAATTACTGGGTAATGGCATACGTTAATTCCAACAATTCAAATAAGATTAATCGATCTAATTTGGTTTGTACCTGCAGAGCATCCCCCTCAGCCTTCTTTTTATTTTTTTGCATAGTAACACAAATAGTCTCTAAACTTTGACCCGATATGCAGTATAGTTCTTGAACTTTTAATTTGTTTAATGTGATCCATAATCTTTTGGTACATGTTCAAGTCAGATTATATGAAAATATTCAATATTATCCTTCTATTAATTCAATTTCAGAGACAACATTGAACATTTTCATAGAGTCCAGAGACTAAATTGAATATATATCGAAAGTTCATGAACCACATTAAACAACTTGAAAGTTTGGGGACGACATTGTATATTGGGTTAAAGTTCAGGAATCACATTGAACAAATTTAAAGTTCATGAATCACATTGCACATTAAGTGAAAGTTCATGAAACATTTACGTCATTTACCCTAATATTTTTTCTTGGATATATCCATGTCGTGTGCCACGTCAGCTCCGAACGGCAAATTTTTCGCCACGTCATCAGAATTGAGGCCCATTGGGCCGGAACCCGAAGGTGACCCGAGAGAGGAAGATCCGGGAGAATTAGGGCTCCGAACTCTCTCTCTCTCTCGCTCTCTCGCAGAGTTTACCTTCTCCGTTTCGCCTAAAACCTTGCGATCATCAGGCGAAATTCCGGTTGGTTCCGCGCCGTGATCCGCCGCGGCGATGAAGGGTCGGGCGTACAAGGACGAAGCGCCCCATGGGAAGTGGGGCAGGTTCGGCGGCTCCTCGAAGCCGGCGGGGAACAACAGCAAGGCGGCGGCGATGAAGAAGAAGAAGGAGAACGTGATGCGTTTGGGAGGCGGCGGCGGCGGCCTCTCCCTCGAAGCCTTTGCGAACATAAAGTCGACCTCGAATCGGAATCAGTACAACCCTGCTCTGATCAGTACGTGCGCGCGCACGCTCTGTGCTTGATGGTTTTTCCGGTGGTTTTTAGTTTGCATGGGGGCGATGTGGGTGCTTGCGTACGTGCGTCTGTTTTCTTGCGGTTTTTTTGGAATGAGGTGGTCATATGGTTTGCTGGGTGTGAGGTGCGAATGGGAAAGTTTCAATCTTTTTGGTAGTTTGAGGAATCAAAAGCAGGGTTGTTTTGGTGGGGAGCGAGTTACTCACTGTGTCACTATGAGCTTATTCAATGAGAATTTTGTGACTCTTGGTCAATCTAAGCGCAGCGAAGTGAAATGCAGAGTGGTGCACTAGAGCTGGTAGGTCCAGGTCGATATCCATACTATAGCTCTGCGATATGATTTTGTTATTGAGATGGTTTTGGTCTGATGACTTCTAGGGTGCTAGATTAGCTTCCGGGGATTCTGTCTTTCTATTCCGTGTGGGAGGGCGATCCAAATTTGATCTACTGGTTGTGATGACGCAATTGCGTGAATTCTTGTCTCTCTCCACGCGCGGCGCAGCTTGTGGTTGTCATGATCACTCAAGCTTTTGTTACTGGATTTCAATGTCCATTTGATTTCTTACTGTTGCTTCATGAAGAGGGGGTTGCTAAGGCATCCAGTTTCTGTCTACATTTCTAATCTTTTGAGTCATACCTAAGACTGTGAAGATCTAAGCAATAAAAGATGATCTACTTAGTACTTACAATGGCTATTTCTAGTGTGGTGAGTGTAAGGCTTCTCACAGACAATTACTGACCCTCCGGATAAACTTTTGGAAGAAGCACTTCTTTTGTCCCGCAGTTCCCTCTTGTTATAAGTGAAGGAAGGGCCTGTGAGATAAATTTTCCAAAGTTCTAGGGGTTAAGGTGATAGACGTTGAACAAGGAGGATGCTTTTACCATTCTTTGAGATTGCAATTGGTCTAGGATTTCGCTCATTAAAGGAGGCTAATAGGAATATTTCTCTTATAGATGTTGACAAGCATCTTGGGTTTATTTCCTTCCAACCTCTCTCGAAATCAATGTTCCTTTTAGTATGCTTAGAGGATCTGTTGACTGGAGTGACCCATGACCAACTTAATACATCTTCAGCTTCTGGTGGACATCTTTTGGCAACTTCAGACCTCTGATAAGGGATCAGTGATAATTGACTTGTCTCTCTGTGACCTACTTTTGAATCTTAGGAAATTTTGTTGCTTTACATATATATGCATTTCCTTTATTTGTTCTTGTTTAGTATAGGATCTTTATTTTGGTTTGCCCCCTTAACCTTTTGCCTGTCTTTTTTGTGTACAATCAGAGCAAGACTGTTTTTTTATGATTAGAGATGTTGGCTATTATCTGCAACTTCATGTTTCTTTGAAATGTTTTTTTCCTTAATCTCGTGAGCTGATGGATTTCATCGCTAACAGAAAAGCAAAAGGAGTTCTACAAAAATGCCAAGTACATCAGCAAGTACAAGAAATCCCTAAAGCATCTAAGTGAGCAAAATGATCCCTCAGCCGTGAAACCTTCAGAGGTTTGTTGTGGCATTTGATGATGTCATTATTTGTCATGTCTGCTTCCTGCCATGAGAATTGACTTCCAATCTCGTTGACATTTAGTATAGTATATGTTTTGTGCAGGTTTCCTTTTCATGGTAAATCAAAATCTTTTTTTTTCTTATCGTTGTATAGTTCCACCTTTACCTGAAATGCTCTTTTTGATATCTTGTGGTTCTGCCTTGATGAATGAGTAGGGAGGATCCATTTCAGAGTGATTCTGTAAGACCGACTTCTTCTGCAGTATCTCAGCTGAGAGGATTCATTAACTTCATGAGCAATGGCAACTCAAATATTTGATTCTGAGTGTCTTGATGGTCAAAAGCGCGATTCATCACATTTTGCTCAGTTTGGATTGAGTGATTAGGAGGGAATGGAAATGATTCGGATGATGACACAGGAGAGAAAAGAAAGGAAGGCAAAGAATTTGATTTTTATTGTAGTTTGGATTCTTATGAAAGAAAGAAAGGAAACAAAGGGAATTTGACCATTTTGTGTTTGATTGAAGAAGAGAAAAGAATGGAAGGGAATTTAAATATATCTCTATGATTACTTTGTCCTTATATTACTTCATAAATACAATAAATCATGTTATGGTTTACTATTTAAAGAAGATGTAGTAGCATAAAAGATCACTTTATTCAACGAAAAAAGACAAGTTGTAATAGGCATTCATGGTAATAATGAGAGGCAGACTAAACAATATAACATTCTATGATCAGATTCACATACAATACTTTTAGGTTCCTAATCACTCTGTATTTATATGCCCTTCTAATCCAAATTGAGTGTTAATTTACTTCTATTTGCATGTGATTGTTTTAGTTTATAGATCTCATCTAAACTTTCTATTTTTCGCTTGCATTTTTTCTAATATTTGAGCTTGTGCATGCGGAGTAATACTCCCGACCTTTTCCTGAAATTTAAGGTGAACTCTACGATTTTATGCACATTGGGCTGGAGAAAGTAAGAACGGAAATGAAGAGATTCGGCCATTTTGTGTTTGATTGAAGAAGAGAAAATAATGGAAAGGAATCTAATTATATCTCTATGATTACTTTGACCTTGTACTACTTCATAAATACAATAAATCATGTTATGGTTTACTACTTAAAAAAGATGTAGTAGCATGAAAAGATCACTTTATTTAATGAAAAAAGACAACAAGTTGTAACAGGCTTTCATGTTAATAGTGAAAGATGGACTAAACAACATAACATACTATGATCATAACCATATGCAATACTTTTAGTTTCCTAATCACTCTGTACTTTTTTGCCCTTCTAATCCAGACTCTGCGTAAATTTACTTTTATTTGCATGTGATTTTTTTAGTTTATAGATCTCATCTAAACTTTCTATTTTTCACTTGCATTTTTTCTGATATTTGAGCTTGTGCTTGCGGAGTAATACTCCCAACCTTTTACTGAAATTTAAGGTGAACTCTACAGTTTATGCACATTGGGCTTGAGAAATTTCTTTTCCTTTCTGCCGTCTAGGTGCACTGAGATTCACTCAAGCTTAAGCGCCTAATGTTGATGTTTTTTGCAGGACGTAAAGGAAACGGAGGAATCTAACAAGAGAAATAAGAAGAACAAGAAGGGAGGTTCAAGTAGTCTGAGGGAGCTGTATGAGAAGAAGCGTGAGGAGGAAGAGATAGCAAGAAAGGAGAGGGAGGCAATTATACAAGCAAAGAAAGAAGAGAGGGAGAAAGCCGAGGCTCGGAGGAAGGCAGAAAGAGTGAAGATGTTCAAGAAGACACGGTCCGGTCAACCCGTTATGAAGTACAGAATCGAGCATCTTCTGCAGAGCATTCAAGGCTCGAATTAGTGCTTGGGTTGCTCATTCAAAGGGGGATTTCAGCATCCCCTCTCTTTTCTTTTTGGTTTCTATACAAGCGGTCTTTTCTTGAACGGTAGATATGTCTAGGGTTTCTGGAGTTCTGGCCTGTTCAGAAAGTTAAACCTGAAATGTCAATTTTTTTGGATCTCTGTAGGAAATGAAAGCTTGTACATTTTCTTATAATATGAAATGGAAGCTTCGCTGGATTCATTGATTAACTGGGTGCCCACTGTTTTTTGGCCTAACAAGGGGGAGTCAGGTGCTGTTCGAGTGGTTCGAACGGTAAAACATTCGTTATCATAGCTGCCCTAACTCATGCATACTGGATAATCACCAGAGCTCGTCATTAATGACTGTACTTATGCATGAAAATCATTATGGACAATGGTTTTGCTTTGTCTCTGTTTCTGGCTTTTCGCGGCGGAATTAAATTTCCACATTTCTCGGTATGGAGTCTTAACTAATGACAGTTGAAAAGCATTATGCTTTTGTGCACATGTCACCGTTACCCCATACCTTCGGGCTCTAAATGATTGTTTTTCCATGGCGGGACTTCTTGTTTCTCTAACGAGTTCATTTGCACATATCCGAAAGGGGACTGAACCACGGATTACAAGCACAGGAAGTTCAACAGAACCAAGTAAAATCGAAAGATTGTTGACTCTTGAAAGCAACGCTTAAGTTGCATACAAGGCTCAAGGTTCGTCCATAGCATATTCTTCTGGCATCGTAATCTTTTTGTAATCCATGTATAATGTCAAGATTCAGTTCACTCTCTTTCGAATTTTCGAAATGCAATCGATCGGTACACTTGCCAAAAGTAGGGAATTCATGCATTTGCTGAAAGTGTAAGAGCCCCTGCGGGCATCACAGAAGGGCAATACTCCTACAGTCTGTCCCTAAATATGAAATTGTGACATTATAAGTAAATATACTGACCATGATAGAGGTAGCACAGCTGTGAATTGATTTGAGCAGCTTTAATTATCAAGAGATGGGCAACTAGTGATTGCAGATCTTGATATTCATGGTACAAATACCAGTGAAAGATAGACCGAACAAGGGCTAGCGAATCATGCCATGCAATCATACTAAGCTCGGTCATTCGTGCCATGTCATGTCGTTAGGAATTCATTTCACCCTGATCTCAAAGTGTTTTTGTCAGAGATTGGTCAAAACTGGTCATTCCTATCCGTTTCAAGTTTATCGTGTTGTGTTTGTGTTTCTGTGAATAACGAAAAGATTGTTATCGATCGACCCTTTGAGAGTCATTGTGAGTGGTTACTTATCTCGATCAAACTCACGTTCTAACTGTACTGAAGTTGAAGGCTTTGAATGGTTGGTGAGGACAAGGAGAGGGCAACTGCCCTGCTTTGAATGGTAGTTCTTGTTCTTTGAGAAGTTCGGTTGACATTTTCGGGAGCAACTAGGATTCAAATACAAAAGCAAGATGCTTTGACACTAAGGAAACTGCCTTCATCCGCCCACGTATTAAGATCTCACTCCTTCAGAGCCCTGTCTGAAGCCGTTTCATTGTCTTCATCTGCACATACCCATCTTGATATCTCCTCTTTGCACAGTTCCCTGCTTGAGCTCGACTCGCGAATCTCTCCGGTAATCAGTCGGTGCACCACATACCACAGGTGTCTGATCCTCATCTGTCCTCAGGCGATAGAATGGGACCTGGAGGACCCGGCGGGCCAGGAGGACCAGGGTTCGGCGGACCAGGAGGACCAGGGTTTGGCGGACCAGGAGGACCAGGGTTCGGCGGACCTGGTTTCGGAGGTCCAGGTTTTGGTGGACCCGGGTGGGGTCCTGGCCCCGGGGGGCCGTGGGGCGGCGGACCAGGAGGGCCTTGGGGTCCTGGATTCGGGGGTCCCTGGGGACCCGGTGGCGGCTTCTTCGGACCTGGAGGCTTCTTCGGTGGGTGCTTTGATGGCATATGCAGCATGTTATCTTCTTGGTGAGCATTGTCTTCCTCTTGCTTGATCTACCATATCCAGTACAGTTGAAGCTTTTTATAGATGTATATTTTCATTTTTGGGTGGAAACTATTGTATGTGATTGAAACCTGTGTTATCTTGCTGGCTTTATCTCGACAAAAGTAGAATCCAAACAAGTTCATAGTTCAAGAAGATCGTATAGGACTAGCAGTACCAGTCTTGTTAGAAAACTGATGGCAACGACGCTTGAATTCCTGTTAATGACTCTTCCGTCCTTTGCAGCATGTACTGCTTGTGCTGTTGCTGGTTGCTACAAGATTGCTTCGGCGGCTTCGGGCCGCGCGGACCATATGGCCCTCCCGGTCCTGGAGGTCCACCCTTCTGATCTGGGGATGTTTTGATCCAGCACCGCTGCGCGCGCTAATTTACCTATGTATTTCTCCGCTTTTCACTCTATATCGTCGATCATAAACTGTTTGTCTTCCATTCTTTCTGTTTGTACTTCACATTAGCGCACTTAATTATTTTGGAATGCCTATGAACCGTTTTCAATTTCCCAAGATACTGATGATTAAGACTCAACATTCCCCTTCTATGCGAATTGCACGATGCGGAAGATTGACAGAGTAGTCATCTAATCGGTGCATTAGAGAATTGGACAAATTTGTCAAGAGACCTGCGAAAACTTAGTACTAAGATGCCCGGTTCAGTTCAGGAATCTGTTGACAAAAGAATAAACAGTTCAGGAATTTCACCGTCACTAAGGGTTAATTCATGAAAGTTCTAAGGCCAACATAAAATTAGTATGAAGTTCACAATGGAAGGGGTTAGTGTAAACATACCTAGGAGATGCTCCTTTTAGGGGGAAAAGGTTTTTACAACTTGGCTTTGTATAAATTTCACCTGACTCTGCTCAAGTAACTCACAGTCAAACCGAAAAACATGCCATGAATTCTTTGCTGTGGAAGGTGGATGATCAAAATGATAAGTGCTCTGAACAATATTCTGCATTTCTCACTGGTTGACCTGAAGTGCAGTTCAAGTCACCACCGCCAAAGTGCATCCTCTGAATTTTTGGAGTTCATAGGCAAAATCCCGAAAGTTCAAACATCGTTATTTACCGGCCTCACGCAACCTATATATTGACTTATATCATAACTCTTCATTTCAGAATAATTAATCAAGTAAGCACACGAAAAGTTCGATTTCGGCATTGGCTTCTTCCAAAGCTGTCAGCAAACTGAGTAGGCATCCCTCAGCAGTCATTCACCAAAGAATCGGGATACATTAGTCAAAAGCACAAGAAACCATACTCATACACACCAATGTCTCTCCAGCTGCAAAAGCACATGTATACAATGAAAAATCAATAGGACAACCAGACGAGTCGGGGTAAACTTCAAAAAGAAAGAGGGCTACCAAGTTCTCGCAAAATCGTTTGATCAGAATGCTCCCCGGAAACACGTTAAACCGCTATGCCTTCCATGAAATCCCTGCCTAGAAAAAACCTCCCGGGAAGGGAAAAATGGAAATTGCAGTCAGTTCAAATGAACCCAAAAGCTTGAGCAACAACACGATAAGACAGCAAACAGGCACCACATATACCATTCATTTTTTCATGTAAGCCTTTATTTATCAATACAGGTAGCTAGTAGCTATTAACCAAAGAAAAGCAAACATTCTCAATGAATACAGGATGGAAATGCTGAAGACTGAAACCATGTACACTTCAGGGTGTTACGCAAGAACATAGAGCTCAAGAGCTTGACCATGATGTGATAAGGCGCCCTACATTCACATTCTTATGACGATAACACCCCAGAGTATAAAGAACAATAAAAATTGATATCTAAATGCTGAAGATTGATACAAGCATTAATTTATAACGTTAAAATTGCCGAACAGAAGTTCGTACAAATTGGAAACGAATTGCTTATCATTCTTATCAAATTACCCAGTAATAGCCTGCGTAGCAATGGAGAGATCAGTACCTGGCAGCACAAGCGATTCTAGTGTCAAAACTGCTGAGACATATGGCAAATGCTTCGAAAGCTGAGATAGGATACTGATAATCCATTGTGAATACATCCTTCCCCACTTTTCCAAACTGGAGGATAACATTCTCATGCTCTGGACCAATGACTCCTTGTTCTGGAGAAGCCACTAACTGGAAGTTCTTCACTGAAGCAACAGTTACCCGTCCATGGAAATTAAGGCACCAGTACTGGAGTTGCTCGTGCCACCTCGGCGACTTGTTCTTCAATACCAACATCCCATCTTTCAAAGCAGACAATGGTCTCCCAGACTGAAGGTTCTCTACACGTGTCAATTTAGATCTGCCAAAAAAGAACGAGGGAAATGTCTCGAGAGTACTGGACATAAATTCAGTCTGTGTCGGAGCAACTCCTCCTGGCTCAATCGAAGAGGCAGGTATGACATCCATGACACATTTTATTCTTCTTGGTCCCCTGATTTCCACACCCAAAACAAATAAAATCCAGAAAGAAACAATTAGTTGAGACTCTAGAGTTAGTCCTTCTTAAATTTGTTTTTTTCGTAGTAAAATGGAACGAGTCAGTTTTCCTACCTCCGTCGCAAGACATTCAACTTATAAGATATGTGCACTGCAGGATAATTTCCAGCAGGAACTTTCAGGGAGACTTGCTTGAAGTTCACTAGCCTGTAGGACCGGCTTTTGATGACTTTGGAGCCAGCATTTGGAGGCTGTGCATCAAAGGCTGTGAACTTCGTGCCCAGAAAGTTTGACCTATCATTAAAGAATGCAAGGGGTTAAACATAAGCAGCATGACCATTCAGATTCAGCATGAGCAAAACTTTCGGTAAGTACCTTAATTTTCCAATGTACGTGCTACTCCCTTTGGACATGTCATCTGGATTTAAAGAGATGATGTAGTCTGTGCAGGTAGGGCGCCTGAGCTTCCGTGCAGCGAGAAGAAATTTGCCATCTTCATTTAAAGCTGCAAATACAGACATCCAACAACTAACACTTTATAGAAAAACTAGACCAACTTGAAAGGATAATTCCATGGTCCAGAACTAACAATGCCCTGAGTAAGAGCAAAAGGATGCTCTGGTATTTCGAAAATATAAGTAAGATATAGGGCAAAAAGAAGAGAAAAAATAGGTTGTCCTGTTCTCACCTTGATCTAAGCTGAGGTAGAGATAATATGTTTGGTTGCTGCGATTGCGTTTAATATAACACTGAAGAAGGGAGTCCCTTGGACCAGGCTGCACGTTTAGCCAGAGATTATGAGTTTAATGATAATAAACATGTCCACAACCATTACCTTCCCAGCATTATAATTAACATAACACCAAGGGACTCCATTGTACAACCAATGCAGTTGCATTGCACGTGACGAGATACTGATGAAGCTTAAGCTTAAAAGAACTTTGCTGTCAATATAAATTACTCCTTTATCATATAATGTAATCTGCCCAAGGCATTGAAATAGAAGAAACCACTCGGCATACATTGGCTAACAAATAATCTATTTTAAGTGCTTGCTGATTACATTTTGAGAGTTGATAACTTTTCCAAATAAGTCATTGCAATCACAACTATAAAACGATTATAAGACAAAAGTAAAGAAGAAATTTCATCAGATTGTTGAGATTCCAATTACAAATAAACTGCAGGAAACTCTCCTCATCAAAAAGAAAGAAAAAATTAATCCATCAGAAACCACTTTTAGGTGATATGAACATGGAAAAGAGCACGATTGAAGGGTGGAGACTGTTGAATTTTAGATGTGGTGTCCTGAAGCATGATGTTACCTTCCTTCCCATTCCATATAGTCACTATAATTCACACTGTGAAATTCATCCTTAGGTACTTTAAGAATAAATCAAGGCAATGCCCCCAGGTAAGTTAAAAGGAATAAAGGGTACTGTAAATCTGTGCTATCTGAATGACTTAAATCAACGTCCAAACACAATCCTGGCCCAATATGCAGGACATGAGAAAGCCATCGGGAAGAAAAAAGCAGATACACTTGGAAAAGTTAGAAGACAGAAGGAAAGAATTCTTTCTTCTCACACTTAACACATTGTTTCTACGTTCTTTCAAACAGTTAAAGAAGGCGATATGAGAACCGCAATGAAAGACCTGCTTCAATGAAATTGGGAATGTCAACTTGCCAGACACCTCCGGGGTTTTCACAATTTCCTTCATGATCTCTCTCCAGTTCCGGCAAACACCGGCATAAGCAACCACATTTTTCCTCGGAGGCCATGCGCTTTACGACGCCTCTATCCTCATCAACACGTCCCTCAAGAGCTCGGGTGGCACGCTCGCCCAACAACTCTGCTTCAATGCATCGACCACTACCGAACTGTCCTGAATAACCCGATGCGAGTGTGACCTCAGCCCGCTCCCAAACTTCACACGACCGAACATTTTCCTAGAGATGTTCCCAGTCTCGTCCTCCTTCACGTCCTGTATAATGCTTTTGAACGAAGCCATCCGTACCTTTCGTGCATAAAGACATGTGAATTCTGGGAACTCGTCCCCCCCTCCCACCTACACAGCAAACGTCATTCTCAGTTCCATTTCTTCCCATCATCCAAAAACCACCCAGCAAGAGCTCCAAGAAGATCCAAAAAGCAATAAAGCTCCAACCAGTGACGTAACCAACCCAAGCGATAAGCACGTGAATCTAGAGAACTGATAAGTGCACACACGTCTCTCCCACCCCACGCGTAAGAATCAGCAACATCCTCTAACTGATAATCCCATGTATAAAAGAGAAGAAATCGCACAGCATTACAAATTGCATGGATCTTCCGCAATTGCCCCCACAGATCAATATTCCCCCAAATTCACCACGAGAGAGTCGGGAACAGACTGCACCGTTTGGCGCGGAACAGAATGAAGGGGGGGACTGATTTGGTCAGACACCCAGATGAGGATTTTCAAGAACGCTGTCAAGAACCCACGCCCATTTTCACGGATTGAATCGGCCCGAGGGACAACAGATTACCAAGATGACAAGAATCGAATTCTGGGTCTTGTAATGGAAATCATCTTTCAGTTGCTCTGAACTCACTCTGGTCGATACTCTGTGCGTGTGCGTGTGCGTGTGCGTGTGCGTGCGGGTGCGTGCGGGTGCGGGAGTATTTGAACATAACACGCACTTCGATTCCCGCCTCTCAAAATGAGATACTGACCAAGTTATTTGGTTGACTGTTTCAGTTGGGTGGTATGATGCTGACTGGTAGACTTTGTTTGGTACATTAAATTCTCCAAGCCAACTTTCGACATGGAATGGCTGAACCATTGTGTAGAACATGATCAACTCGAAATCAAGAGAGTTAAAAAGAAGCAGTTCTTCGGAAATTTCATGATAGTTTCTCCATTTGGGGGGGTCGGTACTCTTATATCCTTCTCCATCATATCACTAGGTAGGTCCTGAATCTAGTTCATTAAGAGTAGAGTAATTACAGATTAGGCTACATCCTTTGTTCTGGTGGAACACAGGCTCCAGTAACCATATTCAGTTACCCCTCTTGAATTTCATTGATTTGTTGTGTCTGCATGACTTTGGATCTGCTAAGCTTGGGCCGCACACCGTTAATTGTTTTGAAGTACGTGCACCATACTGTATGATAATTTTGTTGCAGTGAATGAGTTAAGAACACATAGCATACTGGTATTGGCCCAACAAAGGAACAAAAGATGTTGGGCAGACTGGCTAATTTCCCATGTAATTAGGAAACAAGATCACCGTTACTACTCATTCTGACAGACCATTGTTGTCTTAGAGCATCTCTGAAGAGTAGCTGCTAGTTCATCATCCACAGAGGTCTATTTTACTTTTGGGGTCAAAATTATTGCACATCGCAAGTCTGTTGCCACAATATTAGCAAAGGAAATGGTTTACAACATAGAGGTCCAAGTGAAATCAGAATTTGCTTAAGTTATTTTTCAGTGTCTTGTAGAACTACAGGTTCGGGTTTGGTTTTGTGTGTGTTATCGACCTAAAAGCTTCTGAAGAGTAGTTCAAGTCACCGTCGCCAAAGTGCATCCTCTGAATCTTTTGAGTTCATAGGCAAAAGCCCGAAGGTTCAAATATCATTATTTACCGGCCTCACGCAACCTATATATTGACTTATATCATAACTCTTCATTTCAGAATAATTAATCAAGTAAGCACGCGAAAATTTAATTTTCGGCATTGGCTTCTTCCAAAGCTGTCAGCAAACTGAGTAGGCATCCCTCAGCAATCATTCACCAAAGACTCCGGATACATTAGTCAAAAGCACAAGAAAACAAACTCATACACACAAATGTCTCTCCAGCTGCAAAAGCACATATATACAATGAAAAATCAATGGGAAAACCAGACGAGTCGGGGTAAACTTCAAAAAAAACAAAAAAAGGTGCTACGGAGTTCTGGCAAAATCCTTTGATCAGAATGCTCCCCAGAAACACGTTAAACCGCTATGCCTTCCAAGAAATCCTTTTCTCTTGCCTAGAAAAACCTCCCGGTGAGGAAAGAATAGATATTGGAGTTAGTTAAAATGAACCCAAAAGCTTAAGCAACAACACGATAAGATAGCAAACAGTCAACGTATATACCGTTCGGTTTTGCCTGTAAGCCTTTATTTATCAATACATGTAAAGCTAGTAGCTATTAACCAAAGAAAAGCAACTGTTCACAATGAATGCCAGATGGAAATGCTGAAAAACTGAAACTAGACAAAATCACCGCATGTACACTTCAGGGTCTTATGCAAGAACATAGAGCTTGAGAGCTTGACCATGATGTGATAAGGCACCCTACATGTAACATTCTCATGAAGATAAAACCTCAGAAAATATAAAGAACAATAGAAATGCGATATCTACATGATGAATATTGATACAACCCTTAGTTTATAACGTTAAAATTGCCGAACAGAAGTACATAAAAATTGGAAAAAAATTGCTTATCATTCTTATCAAATTAACCAGTAATAGCCTGCATAACAATGGAGAGATGAGTACCTGGCATTCAACTATTCACAAGCGATTCTAGTGTCGAAACTGCTGAGACATATGGCGAATGATTGGAAAGATGAGATAGGATATTGATAATCCATCGTGAATACATCCTTCCCCACTTTTCCAAACTGGAGGATAACGTTCTCATGCTCTGGACCGGCGACTCCTTGTTCTGGAGAAGCCACCAACTGGAAGTTCTTCACTGAAGCAACAGTAACCCGTCCATGAAAATTTAGGCACCAGCACTGGAGTTGCTCATGCCACCTCGGGGACTTGTTCTTCAATACCAACATCCCATCTTTCAAAGCAGACATTGGTCTCCCAGACTGAAGGTTCTCTACGCGCGTAGATTTAGATCTGAAAAAAGAGAATGAGGGAAATGTCTCGAGAGTGCTGGACATAAATTCAGTCTGTGTTGGGGCAACTCCTCCTGGCTCAATCGAAGAGGCAGGTATGGCATCCAAGACACATTGCATTCTTCTCGGTCCCCTGCTTTCCACACCCAAAACAAATAAAATGCAGAAATAAACAGTTAGTTGAGACTCTAGAATTAATCTTTCTAAAAATAGTTTTTTCGGTAGTAAAGTGGAACAAGTCAGTTTTCCTACCTCGATCCCAAGACATTCAACTCATAAGATATGTGCACTGCAGGGTAATTTCCAGCAGGAACTTTCGGGGAGACTTGCTTAAAGTTCACCAGCCTGGTGGACCGGCTTTTCATAACTTTGGAGCCAGCATTTGGAGGCTGTGCATCAAAGGCTGTGAACTTTGTGCCCAGAAAGTTTGACCTATCGTTAAAGAATGCAAGGGGTTAAACATAAGCAGCATGACCATTCAGATTCAGCATGAGCAAAACTTTCGGTAAGTACCTTAATTTTCCAATGTATGTGCCACTCCCTTTGGACATGTCATCTGGATTTAAAGAGATGATGTAGTCTGTGCAGGTAGGGCGCCTGAGCTTCCGTGCAGCAAGAAGAAATTTGCCATCTTCATTTAAAGCTGCAAAGATAGTGCGTCCACAGAGCCTTACACATTTTCTCTTAAAGAGGAAACAACGAGAATCCTCGAATATCTCGTATGCATAATACAGACAACCAACAGCTAAAACTTTATAGAAAACCTAGACCAACTTGAAAGGCTAATTCCATGGTCCAGAACTAACAATGCCCTGAGTAAGAGCAAAAGGATGCTCTGGTTTCAAAACAAAGTACTATGGACAAAAAGAAAAAAAAAACAAACAGCTTTTCCTGTTCTCACCTTGATCTAAGCTGAGGTATAGATAATATGTTTGGTTGCTGCGATTGCGTTTAATATAACACTGAAGAAGGGAGTCCCTTGGACCAGGCTGCACATTTAGCCAAAGATTATGAGTTAATAACAATAAACATGTCCACGATCATTTTCCTTGATAAGAAATGCTCAGAACCATTACCTTCCCAGCATTATAACTAATCTAACACCAGGGCATTGTACAAAATATGTAGTCGTGATGCACTTTATGAGATAATTATGAAGGTTAAGCTTGAAGAACTTGCTGTTGATAGAAGTTACTACTTTATCGTTTAATCTTCCTAAGATATTGAAATAGAAGAAACCACTCGGCATATATTGGCTAACAAATAATCTATTTAAGTGCTTGATGATTACATTTGAGAGTCAACAACTTTTGCAAATAAATCATCGCAATTACAACTATGAAACATTTAGAGACCAGAGTAATGAAGAAATTTCATAGATTATTGAAATTTCAATTACAAATAAACAGCAGGAAACTCTCCTCATCAAAAAGAAGAAAGAATCCATCCATCAGAAACCTCTTCAGGTGATATGAACATGGAAAAAAAGCAAGATTGAAGGAAGGAGACGTTAGATTAGATGTGGTGTCTCCCATTCCATTTAGTAACTATGATTCGCAATGTGAAATTCATCCATAGGTACTCGAGAATAAATCCAGCAATGTCCCCGAGTAAGTTAAAAAATGAGGATACCGTAAATCTGTGCTATCCAAATGACTTAAATCAACGTCCAAACACAATCCTGGCCCAATATGCAGGACATGGAGAAGCCATAGGGAAGAAAAAGTTAGAAGACAGAAGGAAGGAATTCTTTCTTCTCACAGTTAACACATCATTTCAACCTTTTTTTATGAAAAAGCAAATTCTTTCTACATTTTCTCCTCTTGGGGTTATGTGTTGCTTCCATCAGGACCACTGGCTCATTCAACCCAAATCTACTATCTAGAGACGACACATAACATCGAGTAATGCTGAACACGAGGTAAAGATCCAAGCCAATGCAAAACAAAAGCAAACAGAATGAATAATTGAAATCTCGAATAGTACAGTTAAAGAAGGCGATATGAGAACCACTATGACAGACCTGCTTCAATGAAATTGGGAATGTCAACTTGCCAGACACCTCCGGTGTTTTCACAATTTCCTTCATTATCTCCCTCCAGTTCCGGCAAACACCAGCACAAGCAACCACATTTTTCCTCGGAGGCCATGTGCTTTCCGACTCCTCTATCCTCATCAACACGTCCCTCAAGAGCTCAGGCGGCATGCTCGCCCAACAACTCTGCTTTAATGCATCGACTACTACCGAACTGTCCTGAACAACCCGATGCGAGCGTGATCTCAGCCCGTACCCAAACTTCACATGATCGAACCCTTTCCTAGAGATGTTCCCAATCTCGTCCTTCACGTCCTGAATAATGCTTTTGAACGAAGCCATCCGTACCTCGCGATCTACAAGCTCTTAAAAGGACCAATCCGTGTCGAAAGACATATAATTTTGATATCTCGACCCCCTCCCCACCTACACAGCAAACGCCATTCTCACTTCCATTTCTTCACACCATCCAAAGACCACCCAGCAAGAGCACCAAGAAGATCCAAAAAGCAATAAAGCTTGACCCAGTGACGTTAACTATCCCAAGCGATAAGCACGTGAATATAGAAACGACAAGGGCACGGACGTCTATCCTTCTCCACGTGTCAGAATCAGCAACATGCTCTAACCGATAAGCCCATGGCGCACAGCATCACACGGTGCCTAGATCTAAACACCCAAGAAACTCGAACAACAGCCAGCAACTTTCAATCAACAACCCCAGTACGACCTAACAAGAAAACCAGATTTCCGCTCACATCACCTAATGCGCCGCGATCCTCCGCAATTGCCCCCCGCGGATCAATCCCCGAATTCGCCACGAGGGAGCCCGGGAACAGACCGCGCCATTTCGCTCGGAACAGCGGGGGGGAAGGAAAAGGGGGGTGGTGGGGGTGGTGGGGACTGATTTGGCCAGACACCCAGATGCGGGATTTTTCAAGAAACGCTTTCAAGAACCCACGCCCATTTTCACGGAAGGAATCGTTCCGAGGGGACGACGGATTACCGAGATGACAAGAATCGAATTCTGGGTCTTGCGATGGGAACCATCTCTTTCAGTTACTCCTTAGACACACTACTCGATGATGCTCTTGCGTCCCTGGGAGAGAGAGAGAGAGAGAGAGAGAGGGAGCGAGCGCGACACGAGTTTTAGGTTTTTGTTGCGAAGCTGCGAATCGTGTGTCGCTGCTGTTCGTGCCGGGGGTTTGGCTGGGCCCGGTCGGGCGCGATATCCGGTCCGGTTTGACGCGGTCGGACCGGTTTGTCGGTCGGGTGAGGCCGCGGAGGAAACGAGACTCGGACCGGTTCGTGTTTTATAGATAGAGACCTGTGGAGACACGTTGGTCCCATCGTCTCCGCATGCTAGATGATACCTAAAAGGACCGACGATTTTTATGCATTTTTTTTATTTTTATTTTTTTAACGGAATATATGAAGAAAGATAAAAATAAAAAAATTTGTAAAACCCCGAGACACTGTATAAAATGTAGGGAAAATGATGAATTTCGGCCCGATGTGTAATGTGGTCCCTGAACTTTTAATTTGTTCAATGTGGTCCTAACCTTTTAATTTGTTTAATGTCGTCCCTAATCTCTGAACTATATGAAAATGTTCGATATAGTCCTTCCATTAATTTAAGTTCATGGACTACATTGAACATGTACCAAAAGTGCATGGACCACATTAAATATTAGGCTAAAGTTCATGGATTACATTGAATAAATTAAAAATTGAGGGATTATATTGCACATTGGGCCAAAGTTCATGGACTGTTTGCGTCGTTATCCAAGAAAAAGTAAAAAAGAGTCCAAACTCCGAGACATTATTACATGGGATTAGAGGTCAAAATATGTAAGAGAAAGCAAATTCCACTTTATATTCAAATTGAATAATGGAAAACATTATTTTAGGGTTTAAGAAAATATGAAAAAATATGCAAATATAACGACATGGTTCGTGTACGAGACGATAAAATAAGGAGACTTTCTTGCATGATTCAATTTCGTTACAAAAGAAAATTCACATTAGTCGAAGTTAGAATTTTTTTTAGCTTCATCAGATATATATAAGCTATAAGCCAAAAGTTATATTTTATATAAGTGGAATTCCAAAGAAAAAATCCACTTATTTCAAAAGAAAGAAATCCTCGGGAGACTTTCTTGCATGTTTCAAGTTGTAAGTTAAACTTTGCCTTTCATTATTTTTCAAACGTTAGTGTCGATTCAATTTTATATTAAGTGAATAATTATGTATTTATAGGCTTACTAAAATATGGTATGCTTCAAATTATGAAAATGTATTTCATATTTTCATTTTTGTTTAATATCAAATTGATGAATTAGGCATTTCAAAATATACTCTATTATAAAGTTGGAAAAAAGCCACCAAAAACCTTAAACTATACTCATTGTAACACATTTACTCCAAACTTTTTTGAGACACAAAAAACTCCAAACTTATACCCGTGCGACACATGTACTCCAAACTTTTTTTTGACATATGTACCCCAAACTTTTTTTGCAAAAAAAAAGAGATAAATGCCGAAAGAGATAAATGTTTGGCAACAATATTAAAAGCAATTATTTAGTTTCACAGATTTTATCGTCTATTTTTTCAAGATTTAAATCAAAAGGAATTTTATTTGAGAATAACAAATCGATAATTTTAAGACTTAATGCATGCCCTGTGACAAATCCGTATGCCACGGGATCAATCTTACATGTGAAGTGAAAATGCTACGTGAGGAGTAAATTATATTCAGTGGACAAAATGGATAAATTATGTATTTCAGGATACTTTATCTTTATAGTTTTAAAAATATTTTATCTTTATTTTTTTTCAAATTTAAAATGAATAAGAGATAAAGTTGAAAGAGATAGCTATGAAAATATATGTGATATATTTTTTTTCTTTTGAATTATTATTGCATCCACTACCAATGTGAAGAACTTTTTACATTGTTGGTTGACAAATAAATTAAATCCTTCTCTTTATCTCATTTTTGACAAATATAGAAGTTTGAGGATGACAAATAAATAAACCCAATCATACTGGTCAAACGTGGGCAACGTGAGGAAATTATATCATGTGTCTTGCCACGTGATAATTACTTAGACACAAATTAAAGTGACACGTGGCGAGCATTAAAAAAGTTAAATTGGTCAAAATTATATCATGTATTAAATCACGGAGGCAAAATAAAATGACACGTCATGAGCATAAGCAAGAATATAATCCCAACTCCGACTTATTAATCATATAAAATTGACAAATTAGTCGAAAAGTATTTAAAGTTGCTTTAAATTTGTTTCCCTTTGAATTTGTTTTCAATTTATGTGATGGATTTGTCAACCATGCTGTATGTTTTATTATTACTCATATTGGTGTACATTAGACCCGTCAAACGAATGGGTCAAGTCAGGTAAAAAATGATCCGACCCAAATTGATCCATTTTTATGCAATACAAATTTAGTGATCAATACTCTATCCAACTCATACCCAACACATACCCGACCTAACTCGACTCGACTCATATTTTGCTAAAACACTTCAATGTTTAACACAATTTAGGAAAACTCATATCCAAATTGAGGTCAGAACACGGAATGAGTGACTGCGAGATTGAATGAGGGCGAGAAAGAGTAAAAAGAGAGTTATAAAGATGGCTTGGGTCCATGTAGGTTGTGAATCCATTTAATACATATATAATTTTGGGTTTTACCATACTAAACTCATTTATGACTCATTTATTAAATGTAACTAACCCATATAATAATTAGGGTGTGCAAGAGAACTAGACTGGATCGGGAACGGTTCCCGATCTGATTTCTGATTCTAGGTGTGGAACCAATTGCCCGAACCACCCGAACTAGACTAGTATATATATTTTAAATTTTATGTTTTCCAAACCCTAATTCTAGCTCTCACGCTCCTTAGTCCTCACTCTCTCTCTCTAAAAAAAAAAAAAACCCTAATTCCACTCATCTCTCTCACAGCTCGCTCTCAGCACTCATAGGTCGTAGCCTCGCTAGCCGCTCAGGATGCGAATCGCTCCTCTCGCAGCCTCACTTGCTCTTGACGCTCGTTGCTCCTTCTCCTCTAAGTTAAAAACCCTTATTACCTTTTGTCCTTTTTCTAGTTTCTTCACTCAAGTCTCACGCCTCTCTCTTGCAGCTCACGCTCGTAATTACAACCTCGCTCGCCGCTTACGTCGCTCATCGCTCCTCTCGCAGCCTCACTTGCTCTTGACTCTCATCGCTCCTTCTCCTGTAAGTTAAAAACCCTAACTACCTTTTGTCCCTTTTCTAGTTTCTTCACTCAAGTCTCACGCCTCTCTCTCGCAGCTCGCACTTGTAGTTACAACCTCACTCGCCACTTACGTCGCTCGTCGCTCCTCTCGTAGTCTCGTTCCCTCACGGCCCTTGTCGCTCCCTCTCTTATAAGTCCTCAGTCCCTCTCCAGTAGTCTGTGTATATCTAATGAATAAATACTTTATTTAATATCTTCTTTTTGTTAGATGGATTACGTTAATGCGCAGATTTAAGGTACTTAAAATTTACAAGTTGAAGTGAAACGAACATACGTGGTGGGATTTTCCATTAATTGTTTGAGTTCCAAATTCTAGTAATTCTAATTTAAAACTTAATGTCGAGTGATCATCAATACTTATTGTTGTTTTGTTTTTAGGGGTTAGAACTTAGAACTTAGAGCCTTTGAGCGGTCTTTTCTTTTATGGATAAATATTGAAGTTCTAAGTTGGATATGGCTTGTGGATCCTTTGTAGACTTGGTTTTAGATTCAAAGCTTGAGAAGTTGATTTATTTCAGTGGCTCATGAGTTCTTTAGCCATTTTGCTTGCTCTTTTTATTACAGGGGATAGGAAATTTGTGTTCATTTATCCTCGGTTGAAAGGTTGATTAATTTCATTTGCTTGCTTGCTCGCTCGCTCGCTCTTGCGAACTTGGGGCAAACGCATTTTCACGTGTGATGTGTAATGTATATCATGGATGCATTTGAAGTGAAGCTTGTGAACTTTGTGGCAAAATCTTTTAGTGATTGTTGTGTCATGATTGTCAAACTTTCTGGCAAATTCACAGGTGGTGAAGCTTGTAAACTTGCATGTACAGCCAATCTATGTTTGGGAAGGTGATTCTCATTTGCATCAGATCACGGCCCTCAGGTCCTTGAGTTGGAATTTTGAGCAAGACACTTTTTTGTGTATATGTGAAATACTCACACGGAGTTTTCCTTGAGCACGATGGACTCGAATGCACCTCCCCTTGAACACGATGTTAACTTCACATGGAGTTTAAATGTGTTGAACCTTGAACATGACTCGAACGCACCTCCCATTCCCAGCATCCTAGGACACAGCCTGTTTCTTGGACCCACCCAGGTGGGAACCAATGTACGGTTCCTGGTTCTCGGCTTATGGAATTAGCCCACCCTGAAAACGATCCATTTCCATCCTAAAACCAATCATCCCTAATGATAACTCAGCCTATTAAATATGATTTAAGAAATGAATTTATGATCCATTTTGATAGATTTAGAATGCACTCGGTGTGTGCAAAAAAGACAAACTTATTTTGTTCAATTGTACAATGATTATGAAAAGAGATCATGCTTCGCCAATACAGTGCAGAACGTTGATAAATTTGTTTCCCATTTTACGCTTTTCTTAAACTTTGACTTTAGATCAGATTAGATATGAAGGCGTGATAGTTATTTAAGGAAACGAACACCAGATTCCAAAGTTTTCATATATTGTATAGAACATTATACTTTAGAGATAATCAGTGAAAATCCCACATAGATAAAATGTCTTTTCAATAAACGTGAGGACAATCGCATTGTCCTTTTATACCCCAGTTGCAATAAATAAACCTATTACTAGGTGCCAAGAGAGCACTCATTATCCTTGGCACTAGCTAATTTTAAAATGAGTATGTGCGGGAGTATTTGAACCCGATGGGGTCGAAGCAACATCACCACACATACCGACCAAGCTTGACTGGCCGATTCACCGATGAGTTTGAATAGGTAGCAATCTTTATATGTTCTTTTAAATAATTCATATTGATCTAGGCCGTTTAGGCACTTACAAGTTTAAGTAGAACCG